AATTAGTGTGTAATAAAGAGAAGAAAAACAGGAAGAATACAGTTTCCAAATCAAGCACCAAAAACTACTACCCATGCGCTTGTGGGTAAATGCCCAGCCAAACAGAGTTAGCTCAAAACAGGACCCGAGTCTAAGGCATTTCCTGGTGGGGGCCCATAGGAAAGGGGCAAAAGGGGCCAGGAAAGTCTAGAAGGAAAAGAGCAAAATCAGGGCCTCCCCGTGGTGCAGCGGGCTGAGCGCAGGGCTGTGAAACTGTCTGCAGCCTCTGCAGTGTGGGTTCGATTCTGGCAGGCCAGGGAGATACCCACATGGCGCGGCAGACTTCTCCTTCATCGCCCGCTGCTCCCCTCAGCAGTGTCTTGGGTCTGTCTGCCTGTTCTGCTCCCCACTCTGTCTCTGGTGAATTCTCTCACCCTCCCCTGCACCTGGCCTGTACCCCAGATCTTGCATAAAAAAAAAAAAAATAAATAAATAAATAAATAAATAAATAAAAGAAACAAGCAAAATCAAAATCAAAACCCAATTCAATATAAAGGCTGCCAGTGTCAGCCTCCCCACAGGTCTCTTCCCCACATCTCTGTCTCTTTCAATTGTCTCCTTCCATATCCCCCAAGTTCCTGATACAAGCCCCAGGCCAAGGAGCAAGTACAGCTTCTTCACATGTCTCTCTGCTCCACTGTCTCCTCCAGGTGCTGGTCTTGGTATCCCCTTCCTTCCTTCTCCTGCCTTCTCTTGCTCCCCATCCCTGCTCAGCTCCACACTTCCATGACGGGGCAAGTGAGACACAGGGCAAGCTAGAAATTAGGCAGTTTTAGGGACAGTGCAGGAGGGGACCTCTGAAGAATTTAGGGATTTTCTCCTCAATAAACTTTTTCTTTCTCAAAACAAACCTGTGTCTTCTTGCTTGCTTGCCTGAGATCTGCGAAGTTCCTGCTGCGGCTTCGGAGACACCATCCCGTGGGGGTCTAGTGGCTGGGACTCAGCGCTGCACCTGCAGCCTGGGATCTGTTCCTGGCTGGAAGACTAGGCCTGATAATTCCGGTATCACAAGGAACCTGGAAACTCCCCTTTCCTGGGGATTGCCTTGTTACACCTTCAGCTCTAAAATCATTCCTGTGTATTGGCAGCAAGGTAGTTTCTCCCTGTTTGGATAATATTAAGTATTCACCTGCAGGAGGGTGGGGGAAGGACTTTCAACAATGCTTAAGAGAAACCCACACCTTGACCATTCACTCTGCTATCTGATGAGCACTAAATTAATTTCCATATGAACGCATGATGTGGAGGTAAGACACAGAAACACGAATTACAAGAGACACAGCTGGCTCTTATTAAATTTCCCAGAAACACAGTGTGTGCATTAATTAGTCTAAAGCACCTGGAACCTAATGCAAGAGAGATTTACAGGGAGCAGTGGTACAGAGATGGATTAACCCCAGAAATAGGTTTGGCTCTGAGGCTGATATTTTCTTTTCCTCTCTGAATGGAGCAAGATAAGACACATTACTTACAAAATGTAACCACTTCTGGCAGTTTTACCTCTGATTCCTGCCTCCTACCCCCACCCCAAGTGCTGCCAGGCACAGAGACTGGTTCTGAACACAAACCCCTGGGGCCTCTTCAGCTCAAGCCCCAGAGACACTTGCTGGTGAATTGTGCAAATCGGGGGGGGAAATGCCAGTTCCTGATCCTCTCAGGCTTGGCCCTGTTTTCTGTCAATCCAGCTTTGCATGATGAATTGAAGAATTTCCCATATGGCCGAAGGCACCAAGGCACCATCACCACTGGGCTTAATCCTAATGCATTTTTAACTTCCCCTTTTTTAACCAGGTGCCAAGGAGAAAAGATCAACTTGAAAAAATTCCCTGAACAGGCACCAAGGAAGCAAAAGGCATGAATGCCACTTTCTTTGAAAGGCTGAGGCACTGGGAGTAGAAGAGTTGTCATAAAATGCAGGCTAGAGCTCCAGACCCCCTGGGCTGTGACCGAGGCCAAGGCCAGTGTGGCACCCTCAGGACAGTTGTGACCTGCCTCTTTATGCTCCTGTGGAGAGTTCAGCAGGTGTGATGGGATTTTTTTGGAGTTAGTGGGTTTGGAGTGCGGGGTCCTTGGGCTCACTCTGGGAAAGGTTTCACCAGAGCTCCCGTTTCAGCAATACGCGGTGAGTTTCCCAGGCAAGTTTCTCCACGAGACAGAGACATTGGTTATATTTAAAAAGCAGGTTTGTTAGGGAAAGGGACAGAAGAATAAAGGACACTTGCATAGACACAAGCAGGCAGGAAGAGCTGCCCTGAAAGGGAAGGTTTGCTAAGAGAGGCCTGCATGTTTGCAGGCAGGTGGCCTTGAGGAGAGCGGCCTCCGCTGAGGGAGGTCAATGAGGGGAAGTACAGGTCATGGGCAGGTAGGGAGCTGCTGCCCTGAAGAGGGAGAGAGTTGGTAAAAAGAAGCACCTGCATAGGCACAGGTGGGCAGAGAGATTGCTCCCAGAGCCTGTGCAGAGACTGCACTGATATAGTCTTCTCTTGTTTGGGAGGGGCTCACTCCTTGTGAGCCTTAGGTTAGTTGCTTATTTTTTTTTTAAGATCTATTTATTTATGCATACAAGAGCTGGGGTACAGGCCAGAGGTGTGGGGGGTGAGAGGATTCACCAGAGACAGAGTGGGGAGCAGAACAGGCAGACTGACTGAAATACACTGCTGAGGGGAGCAGCGGGCGAGTCAGGAGAGGTCTACTGCGCCATGTGGGTTGCTCCCTGGCTGGGGATGGAACTCGTCCTGCAGTGGCTGCGGATAGCTTCATAGGTTGCATCTTAACCCCTTGTGCCACCAGGGAGGCCCAATTGCTTATTTTGGATAACTATGTAGAATCTGAAAAGGACAGGAGATTCCACAATGGACTTGATCTCCATATCTTTACCCTTGAACCTTTGCTCTGGACACTGCCTACAGCAGCTTGATACCTGCTTGGATCTTATGCTTTGTAATCTGGGCTTTGGCACCTAAGGATCTTGGTTTCCATAGCTGTGTCAACAGCTATGCTAATCTCTTCTACCCCCACCTCCTGTGTGAGCCAGGTTGCTGGTCTTGTGGGGCCGCCTTTGCAGTTTTGCTATTCCTGACCTCCATCAGGTGTATACCATGTGAACAGTCTTGTTCTGGAAAGAACAGACTTATTTTGCTGTAATCTTGCTGAGTGATCATGGGCAAGTCACTGAACCCCACATTTTCCTCCACTGTTCAACAGAGAGGTAGAGTGGCATAATCTCCAATATCCGCATGATGTTAAGATCCTATTATTTTACTAACAGCAACCTTATGCTTTCACATTGTGGTGGACATGGTGATGGGCCTCCCAGATGGTCCTTCTGTAACAGGGAGCTTCCCACGAAAAGGGGAGGTGCCAGATTCCCTGCCCCACCCAAGGGAGGGTATAGCTGAGCAGGGAAGAGAAGAAACTGAAGAGGAGACTGGAGAAGGAAGGAAGCAGGATGGAGAGCCAGAAGGAGACCTAGAGGAGGCACATGGAGTGAAGAGACATGTGAAGAAGCTGTGCTTAATGTTTGGTCCTAGACGGGCTGAAACAGATGTGGGTGAGAGACCAATGGCAGCATTGATCTTGATTTTGATTTTGCACTTTTCCAGACTTGTCTGGCTGTTTCTGACCCTTTTCTATGGGTACCCACCAGAAGGTGCTTTAGACTTGTGGCAGACTTTTGGGCCTCAGTGGCCCTGCTTTGGTTCAACCCTGTTTGGCTGGGCATTCACCCATGAGGGCATGGGTAACTTTAGGTGCTTGATTTCAAAACTATATTCTTTGTCTTTTCTGTACTGCACACTAATTGTATTAAAGTTACTTTCCATTAAAGGTCTTGTATGTTTTGTCTTGGTGTGGCAGACGGCAGAACGTATTTAGAATGGGCAGGTTTGGGGGTTCTGGGGTGTCCCTCTCTTGCCCTGTAACACTTCAGTGAAGACCTATTGTCCAGAGTTGGAAAGCGTCACCAGGAAAAATTGCCTCAAATTGCCTAAAGCTATATACCAGAGTCAGTGATGCTCCTCAGTTCCTCCTGAATAAGCATCCTTCCTGCTAAGCCCCTTCATGGAGTCAGCTTCCGAGAAAGCCCAGCCTGTCAAGGTCACTCCATAGAATTGTAGAGTTTGAGCCTCTGACTGCACGTCCCCCCAGCCTTCCTCCCTCATTGTAGAGGAAATGAAGTCTCAGATAATGACTTGCCAAGTTCATTCTATAAGCAGGGCTGGGACTAAGTCTTCAGTTTCCCACATCTCAACCAAATCCTCCTATCATTCCTCACTGACTTCCCCAACTTAAACCACTTTTCTTTGCATATGGAGAGAGAGAGATGTGTAGACAGAGAGATAAATAGATTCATCCATCCATCTCCTCTGCGAGGAAGAATAATAAGCAAATGCATGCATTCATGAGTTCATTGCCTCTACTTTACATAAATAAACCATTGGTTTTTGTTTGAGGGAATTTTTTTTATGTCCTTGAGAAGCCATATCGCATAAAGACAATAAGCTGTGGCTCAGGAACCAGGAAAGGCTTCTTATTCTCAGTTCCTCATTCTTGTGCTGCAAATATGCTGCCATTTGAGAGTAGGATTTTTTCAGATTCCAAGACTGGCTGGGGGATAAGAGTGGGGAAGGGTAATCATGTTATGAAATGATGGTTCCACAAAGATTGACGTCATTGGGGAAAGCAGTGTGAAGGAGAAATAGGAAATTTCTGTATACACACACACAAATTTGTATATATTTATATACATATATTTATATATACACATTTATATATATTTTACATATGTATTTTTTAGCAATATCTTGTGGTCAAAATTATTTCATAAACATTTGATAATAATAATAATAACTCTCAATGGTTTCATTTATTCTCACAAAGAGTGGATGACTTGAGGGATGGGGAGGGATGCGCAAGTTACAGAGCATACTCACAGCACCTCATTGCAAAGCTACTGTATTTTGAGTGCCACTCAGTGAGGTAGAGGTGATGAAACTTGTTGCACCAGGCATGTGCTTTTGAAAAACATGCTCTCTATGAAAAAGCCAAGGGACGGGCATTCTTTAGACCAGAGCCCTGAACACTGTCTGCTACAGCACCTGTTTTCCTGTTTGGGTTATATCACCCCAGGTGATTTAAGTCAGACCAGCTCCTTCATTTCATAGGTGAACAAAAACAGAAACCCTGAGAAGAAAACAGCTTTTGCAGGTCGGCCAAAGAGTGACTGATTTGACAAAAGCAAACAATTCCAAATTGGAAATACATACCTGGTCCGTGGTCTGGAGAACATCCTCTTCTGTTTCAAGAGCCCAGGGTGCATGGGTGGGGGAGGAGAGCAAAAGCCAGCTGCCGCTAGGCTCCCCGCCATGTGCACTGGCAGCGGGACTGCCCCATGCAGGCAGCAGGTTCCAGCCAAGTGTTGCCTGCAGCATGGTCAGCAGGTTGTCCAAGGACGGTCATGGAAGTCACGTCCTAAGAAAGGAGCCAGAAAGCAAGAATTAAGCATTTCCAGTTTTATAACTAAATAGCATTCCAAGGTACTATCAACTATAAATCAAATGTGATGTTAAAAAGGAAAAGAAACGAATCACCTAAATGGAAATAACTGTCTCCGATCAAAATATCTTGCAATTAAATATCCATTTCTTCTCTAAGTTCTAATTTTCTCTTAGGAGAAGTCAACGTTTTTGCAGTGACAGTCCAAAGTCATGAGGAGAACAGTGTGAGGTTTTATCCCGGGCACTGAACATTTTAAAGGTATATGTTTTTAATAACGCTTTAAACTGAAATATATCTTATTTATAATCAAGTGCATGAAAATTGGTTTTTACGTTTTATAAACCTGATAACCACTGCCCCGCTGACCAAGACCAAGAGGACATTTCCTGCTCCCTAGAAGCTTCCTGGAGTGCTTGGATATCTAAATAACATTAAAATATTACGAAAATCGAAGCCTCCACCATCCGGGTGGCTAGCTCATCCCAAACCTGGCATTATCCTGAAGACAGGCCTCCTAAGACATTCAGGCACCCGAGCTCAGAACGCCCCACCCACTGCCTTCTCAAAACAGGACCATGCCTTGAGAACATCTTATTGACAAGGTAAAGGAAGGCTAAGGCCTAGGGTAAGGCAAAACTTTATTCTTTGCTCCCTCTAAGGAGCCATGTGGAATGGGGGATTGCCGCAGACCAGCTTTCAGCAAAATGTCAGGTCTGAAGTCCTTGAAAGGAAAAGACGGTCTAGGTGCGGCGAAAAGGACTGAGGGGAAGGGGATGAGGCAGTGAGGAGACACTGACACTGGATGAGGTGCAAGTATCTTCTGCCGAGAGACTCAGCAGGTTCTTTATACTTTTTTAGCAAGCCGTGAGATGACAATATCATGTGCATAGAAACAAAGCAGAAACAATCAGTGCATCCTTTTTTCCATAGACTTTTGGCCACTACGTGCTCTCAGTAAGAAGGCAACCTTCAAGGTTAATAAAAAACTAAGCCTTACACTAAAACTCATTGTTTCAGTTAAACAATAACCTAAGACAGTGGATAGCCGCCAGGACACCCCTATCAGCTAAAGCCTAAGCAAGAAAAGACTTTTCTTATTCGCATGGCCTTCAGCCAGGGGACCGGCTGCTACTCAACTATCAGAACTTTTTCTACCTAGAAACTCCTTAACTCAAATAGCTTCATTAAAAAACTTTCCCAAGAAGCTTCAAGAGAAGGCAAAAGAAGGACCTACTATAATTGTTGTGCTGGATTGCTTGTCAGGCATGTACAATAAATTGTCTCCCATTGTCAAGTGGGCCAAATTGTTTAATAACTAATTTCTAAACAGATAATTTTCCGTGCTGTTCACTTACAATATGCTGATACGTGTAATTTATTGCCTAATATACTTTCTGATAAATTTTTCTCTTTTTATGACCAAGAACAACAAGCAAAGGGATGTTAAATCTTTAGCCCCATGGTGTGAGGCCCTTTTTCTTAGCTGCTTGCTAGTACCGTATCTGACTGGGCCAACAAGGCCCCCTGCAGCAGGGGATGGTGAGAACCTGAGATTTAAGGAAAACCCGGCGTTTGGGGATGACCTGATAGTTTGTCTTATAAGTTATGGTTTTCAATAGAGAATATTGAACTTAAAAGAGTGTTCATCAGTTTGTTTAATCGCCACGGGGTGGTAGAAACATCCATCTTGAAGTTAAAAAAAGATGCTTCTGGTGTGTTTCAGTCCCTAAACTGATGTTTGCAGGAAGTTTGCCTTTTCTTTCTTCTGGATTGTAGAATCAAGTGCCAGGTATCAACTTTCATTCCATTTTTTTTTCCCAGTGGGAAATTTTCTTCAATTCTCAAGTCAGGATTTACTAATATTTGAAGCTGCTGTCACCTGATGATTTTGGAACTGATTTCCCCAACCTTCTTCATTCCAGTACACATTTCAAAATCCTTCATACTTAGAATCTTCACCCTGAAGATTTCTTCTGTGAGGGGTGTGAAATAGAAAGTTGTGGGCCTCCCTGGTGGTGCAGTGGGTGGAACACTGCACTGTGAAGCTGTCCGCAGCCTCTGCAGTGTGGGTTCCATTCCCGGCCGCCCAGGGAGAAACCCACATGGCACGGCAGACCTCTCCTGCCTCTCCCGCTGCTCCCCTCAGCAGTGTCTTCTGTCTGTCTGCCTGTTCTTCTCCCTGCTCTGTCTCTGGTGAATTCTTTCACCCTCCCATGCCTCTGACTATACTCCAGTTCTTATATAAATAAAAAAATCTTTAAAAAGAAATAGAAAGTTGCCTATATTTTCCAAAATTCAAATCCTAGTTCATAAAAGGGGTTCAATCACTTTCCCCACCTCTCAAAAACACTGTCTCAATTCCTTCCCAGTGCACGTTCTAGTTAGGAACTGAACCAAGCTATATTAAGGACAATTATAAATAAAAGACTTGAAACTGTGATCAGAGGGAGGGATAGTGGAGGAAAGAAAATTGTAAATAGATGGCATCATTCCTCATAGGGCCCAAATCAGCCTTTGGAACAAATAAGCCAATTTAATTCCTCTTGTTATTGCTCATAAGTAAGAATTTTGAGGAAATACCAAATGCCTAAGAGTTTAGGACATTTTTTTTCTTTTTCTCCAAGTGGGAGTTGGAGTTATGTGATTTCAGCAAGGTTGGAGGATGGTGTGTGAGGATAGCAAGAGGTTCCAGTGGAGCTCAGACTGAAGTCCAGCCCTTGCTATGCAACTAGTGGGCTCTGCTCATGCCTTGACACTTGTTTTGACAAGGTAAAACTTCTATTTACTTCTATTGAGAAGCGTTTGCTTTCTGGCTTCAGGAAAAAAAGATTTTTATGTGTAGATGTCTAAAGCGAGAAATACCACCTTGGCACAAAGATCTATTTATTGTCTCATTATTTGTACTCCCATTTTTACTACATTTCTCTAATTATATAATGTAAATATCACACATTCATTGTGAACAACTCAAACCATTTATAAAATATGAAACTTTTGAAATATAAAAAATAATAAAAATTATCTTGTCATCTTACCATAATAATAAGCATTAATATTTTGGTGACATTTTTGCATGCATCTCTTTACATATCTATGTGTTTTTACATAAACAGCATTTAGCATAAATGATAATTTTCCTGGGATACCTTTCCACACCCATATCAGCAGCTTTATCTCCATCTCCATTTTCCCCAAGTAACACACGTATCTTAGCCAGAAAAAATCTTGAGGTTTTGCATGTACATAGTTTATTTGGGTTCATTACCGTGGAAACAGGAAACATAAAGCAGGGAGTGGAAGAAAAGTTGATACCAGGGTGCTTTACTGACCTGGGTACTGCCATGGGCAACTGGGGTTCAATCTCCCTGGGGCCCTCTAAGGAGCTATGTGGAATACACCTCAGAATTGTCCACCGATGGAAGGAAAGATGGAGGGACCTATTTACTCGCTGATTTCTATCTCCCATAGATCGAGGGTCGCCACAGGGGCTATTAATTCCCTCTCCTAGGTTGTACATGAGTGAGCAGGTGCCAGACTGGTGCACCAGTCATCTCACACAATGGCTTCAGAAAGGACCTGAGGCAGAAAGTGACAAATAAGGTGCAACTGGACTAAGGTGGTGGAAGGTTATACCTGCATGAAACTGCTCACTATGAAACAATAAACTATAGCAGTAAAAAGGTGAACTGAAGGGATAGAAGACATGAGGCCTGAGAAATGTCCCATACAGTCTATTCCTTACACCACTCAAATGTTCTCACGCTCTCTGCAGAGTCCAGTCAGTCAGAGGGTCTTTGATGTGGTGGTCAGTGACAAGCTCTACAAAAGACTCAGTTAATGAGCCAAGCCAACACAGATGCATGTGGTCACAACACCATTATCAATGTGCTTTGTCTCTTTCCCCCACACGCATTCCAGATTCCCCTCCCCCTGGAGCAAACCTACATTCTTCATCCCTGTGGAGTTGGAGGCTGAGTCCCTCACCCCCATCAGGACATGGTTTCTGCATGGCCTGTTTGTATTTCAACTTGGCAAGAAGCCCCAGATCTCCAGAGTTTCTACACGTGCTCCTTTCTTACTCCATTGTGCAGCAGCAACCCTAGCTCCTCATAGTAATCAGGGTCAATTATCCTGAAAACGATCACAATAGAGTTCATTGTGGCTCACTGGCTCAAGGAATATAAATGCTTAGGCAGTAGATATAACATCAAATCCAGCAGAACCTTGCTGGTACAAATATGCCTCCCAACCTCCCACCTCACATCCCTGGGAAGCCTCTAATCTAATAGGGTGAAAGGCGTGGGGTGAGAAGTATAAATTCCTCCAGTGGATCATTAGGAGTAATGGTGAGAGGGGCTGATCCTTCTTTCACCTCTTAGTTCCAGGATCCATGCTTTCTCGATATTGGAACACAGATTATATATTGGCCATCACTTCAATGTGTATAACACATGTTGAAAGCTGCCTTCCACCATCACAGAGTGTTTTGCCTAAGATAAAATGTTAAAAGCTTTTAATGTCTCTCATCCTTCAATTATGCTGTCAACTTCCAGGTGACATGCTGTGTGGTAGAATCAGTGATTCCTGCAGACACGCTGCTAATGTCATACTTATTTCACCATAAAATGTGCCCAGAGGCACATGCTATATATCAGAGGCAATGTTATATAGGCTCTATGCTGGTAAATTAGGCAATCTGTTGGCTCTCGAATGGAGATGCTGGCAGTCAGGGAAGGGAATCTTACATCCAGAATGGATGTCAATTCTTGAGAACAAATCACTCTCCATAACAGGGTAAACTGGGTGAAGAAATGCACCTGTTACCATGTAGCTGTCTGGTCTACTAAGTGATGTTATCACAGCAAGAGCTTGGCTGTGATTTCTTTGACTGGAAATCTGGGCATTCATGAGTGACAGTGACTGATGAATCACCCATGATGAGAAGAAACTCATGCTACTGGACTCAGGTATGATCAAATCACTCTTGATCTCAATTTTTATGACTTTCAGGGACTGTTGAATCAACCCTGTGGTGACCAACAAGAGAGGCTGAGTGTTATCCACACAAAGGGGATATTATCTGTGGTAGATGCTCTCTGAGGTGAGGACTAAGATGAGACACAAAGGTCTTACACCCTGTGTCCACTCCCATGGACAAAAATGCCTCATTTCCTAACTTCCTTTGACGTTCATCTTCTCATCTTGCTCCTTCTCAGCACTGAATCATTCAGAAAGTCACAAACCACTGCCAGGAGTCTATTTTATAGCCATAACGGAGGGAGGTCAACATTGCCACCATTCAAATTAAGTCATCAGGGCACTGCCTGCAGCTCTTGCCACTCCTCACTGTCTCATTGGGTGATCCTGGGTGAGGCTATTTAATGAAATTGTAGCCCTGGATATCCCATTACATCTCTAATCTTAATATCTTCCTCCTAAAACATATGTTCTTATAAATGGATGTCCTAACATGGACTGATATAGACATTAATAATGATTTCTTGATTATACTTATGTAATGACCTATGGCTGATTTGATAGATATTGCTCATTTGCAAAACCCTACCGATTAACTTAAATTGAGCATCCCCATTTTTTTCTTTCTTTCTGCAGAGAAGAACTAGAGTGTAGGCTTGAAGCATGGGAATAAGAGGATTCACCGGAGACAGAATGGGAAGCAGAACAGGTAGATTTACTGAAAGACACTGCTAAGGGGAGCATCTGGTGAGATAGGAGAAGTCTGCTGAGCCCTAGGAGGGTCAGCTCCCTGGCCTGGGCTAGACTCAGGCCTCAGTGGTAACAGCACTGAGATTTCACCCCTGGGACACCAGGGAGGCCCAACAAACCAAATTTGCATTACACCTACCATGTGTACTACCTCTATTGTGTACTTGGGAAGATCCCAGGTCACCACTTATTTGGTTCCTTCTCTGTAAAACGCCCAGGTAGAATTCAGAATAGAGGCAACAGGCATGTGAGGGAATCAGGGACTGAGGGGCCTGGGCAGTGAGTGGTTTGACTAAAGGGTTTACACTGGGTTGTAGATCTTCTGCAAGGCCATAGTGAGAAGGAGGCCAGCACTATGACAGAACTGGACTCAGAAGGAGTAAAAAAACTTGGGTGATACAAAACAAACTTTATTAGTATTTCCATAATGAACAAGAAATCCTGGAGGAAATAAAACGAAAACAACTTGAAATCAATTAGGAAACAAAGATTTGAACTACAAGAGGAGGGCCAGGTGTCTGTGGGTGCAGGGTTAGTAGAAGTTAAACGAGGACATGTGGCTAGGGAGGTGGGTGAGGAGAGGTTTGGGGTCAGCGGTGCTTAGTCTGCACCAGAGGTGGACAGGCAGGACAGGGGTCAGGGATGGGACCCTGGAGGAATGGCATCAGGTGAGCACCCTCTGCTTGTGCTGCAGGATCCCTGCAGGGGCTGGTTCCCCAGGCAGGGCTGCTGGGGCTTAGCACCCTCACTTGAACCTGCAGGATGCTGGCCAGAAGTGGCTTCCTCCCACAGGCATGGTTTGAGCTCAGGACGCTCTTGCATAGGCAGCATTCTCCTGACCAGGGCCTGGCTGTCCCGCAGGGGCGGAGTGAGCTCAGCACTGTCCCCATAGGGCTCAGTATCCTGGTCATTGTCTGGTTCCTCCCAGAGCACTCCTCTTATCTCAGAATCCTCAAAGAAGTCTTCGGGATCCTGCACCAGTCTTGGCTTCCCCAGAAAGGAGGGGTGTGAACTGCCCACACTGGGCAGCTCCTGAAGCATCCTGGCCTCTACCTGTCTCCCACAGTGGGGCTGGTGTAAACACACCACTGCCAGCATGCCCCGCTGGGGCCTGGCTAGGACCTGGCTCCCTGCAAACAGGTGGTGTTCGCTTGTGCCCAGCAGGTTGTCCCACAGGTTGCAGGTCCTGGACTGGTTTCCCCAGCAGGGCTGGTATTAGCTCAGCAGCCTGGGGACATCCTGCTGGAATCTGGGGAGTTTCAGGCTATGTAGGGGTTTAGTGAGCTCAGAGTGCCCAGGAACAGCTACAGTACCCTGGGCATTGTCTGTCTGACCCAGCAGGCCTGCTGGGCTCTCCTGTTGCTCTGGAACAGCATATGCAGGAGCGGCTTCTCCTGTCCCTTCAGGACCCCTAGTGTCTGCTTGTCTCCAATCAGCAACTTGGCTGGTCTCCTGGCCTGTCCCATGGGCAGCAGGGAAGCCTGGCTGTGCTCCTTGAGAAGGGGCTGAGGATGCAAGAGGACAGGCCATCAGCCACATGCCAGATTGCCACTTGCCTTTGCAAACAGACCACATGCTAGAGCCCTGAGCAGAGACCAGCCCAAGATAGGGGGCCCCTGGGATTCTGTTCCCCAAATTTGGCAGTTACAGATGCCAGGTCATACTGCTCGTGGTCTGAATCTAGCCCGTGTGGTCTCCTCCAAGGGGCACCTGACCCTACCCCGCCCAGTCGGGCCCATGCACCATCCTGTGCCACTTACCCTCGGACAGCTCCTCCAGGGGCTTTGTGTACTCCAGCCAGTTCCTTTGGACATGTGCCCCAATCTCAAATTGCGGGTGCACTTCAACCTGGGCTCTGTGCTGGGACAGATCCCACACTGGGCTGTGGGAGGACAGTTGGGGAAATGTACTCTCTGGATCTCTTCACCTTCCTGGACACAGAACACCCTCTGGAAGCAAACAGACACACCTGCTGGGTAGCAACCAGCTGGGGCAAGAGGGAGCAGCCATAACTCTCTGGGTCCCACCACCAGCCAGGCTGGTTCTGGTGTAGACATGACCAGACTCCTGGGTGGGCCAGACCCTCCTTCCTTGAGCACGCACACGCTCACTCTCACCGCTTGCACATCTACACTCATGGGGGGAAGGGAGGAGTGGGGGCATCAGAGCCCTGGCATGGCCTGACCTGTCCCGAGGGACCCCTAGTTTCCTCAGGGGCAGTGCTGGTGCTGGCCAGAGACGTCGACACAGGCTCCTCATGCCTTTCAGCAGAGTGCGACACGAGTTTCAGGGAAATTTTTGGGTCCACTGCAGGGAGACCTGGGCAAACAGCAAGAAAACATGGTGCCGGGTCCAGGCCCACCAGGCAAGTGAGCTGGGTCAGGTTTGGTTCAGAACCAACTGCCTGGGGACCAGGGTTCCGAGGTGATGTGTGCCCTGTCATCTTTTGGAGGTGATGTCACTTCCTGGGTCCCCTTCCCTGGACTTCCTGCTCAGACAGATGCCCCCCCAACCCATGGCTGCCTGGGCCACTTCCTGTTCACCCTCCATGCCAGGCCCAGCCCACAACACTGACAGCAGCACAGCCTCCCTGAGCCCTTGGATGGCGAGACATGGTGAGACGTAGCCAGGGCCCCTGCTGGGCACTCTGGTCTCTGGCTGCTGACCTGGCTCATCCTCCCTGCCAGGGAGCAGGCCCTGCAGCATCGGCAACTCCAGGCTCCTGTCTCCCATGGGCCCAGAGGAGCTCCAGAGTGTGGAGCCTCTCCCAGGGCGGTCCTGGGGAGTGGGCCACTCCTCTCTGCTGCCCTTGAAGGGGAGGCTGGTGTCAGGCTCACAGCACTTGGAGGGTCCCACCCGGGGAAGGACACCTGCATATGCCTCACCCAGGCCTGGCCAGCCCTGCTGGGGGCAGAGTCATCTCCCACCTGGGGTGCCTGTCCTCCCACCCGTGTGCCTGTCAGTCCTGCTCCTCTCTGGCTGTGCCCTACAGGGCCTTGCGGGCCCAGTCAAGGTGCCAGGGCCACAGACAGTGCACACCTGCCGGCCACAGATTTCTCAGGGTCCCCTCCCTGCTCACACACCTGCCCACTTGCCTGGAGGTTGTATCGACTTGGGGCTGGGTTCTGACTGGGACGAGGCCACCCAAGGCAGGGGGTGTCCACTCCAACAGTGACTGATGCCAGCGAGGCCTCTTCTGTCTCCTTCCCTGTCCTCACTGGCTGACTCTCCCTTTCTCTTTCTGTATGTCCCTCTGATGTTCTCTCTCCCCCTCTTGGTCTGTCCTCATCTCACTCTCTGTGTGTGTCCCTGTCCCTCTCGGCCTCTCTGTCCCTGCCCCATTCCTCTGTGTCCCTGTCTCAGTCTCTCTCTGATCCCCAGTGTGTGGAGGACCAGAGGGAGGGAGGGGGGAGCACAGGGGACTGAGATGATGGTGCACGGGTGCCTTGGAGAAGGAAACTCTATGGGGACTACACCTGAGGGGGTGGGAGGAAGCAAATAGTGTTTACAAGTGAAAAGTGAAGTTAAAAAATAAAAAAAGAAGAGTATCAAAAAAAAATACAATCACGCCTGCAGGATCCTCCCCCTGTCTTGGCTTCTCCAGCAGTGGGGGTGTGAACTGTCCACCCTGGGCAGCGCCTGAGGCATCCTGGCCTATACCTGTCTCCCGCAGTGGGGCTGTTTTGATCCTGTCTCCTGGAGGCAGCATCAAGTTGGGTTTTGTTTTTTGGTACAACCAGTCACTCTGTCTTGTTCTTTGGTGAGTTCAATTCCTATCCATGAAGGGTGATGACATGATGACTTACTACTGCGCTTTTGTCTTTAGTCAAATCCAGCCAAGAAATGTGTGGTAACTGGAGCGGGTGGTGAGGGCTCCAGGGTCACTGCCTCCTTGGTGCCCCGGTCAGTTTGGAGGATGGTGTCGGTCCAGAGGCCCAGACATTAGCCAGGTGGCTGGGGTTCTGAGCTGGGCACTGCCATAACCCCTCAGTCTCCAGGTCCTTGTTTCTGAGAGGGTGTGGGGGAGGGGTGTCAGGACAGTATCACTTCCCAGTTCACAGAGTGCTGGGGAGGGATCTCCAAGGTCACAGGGAGAAAGTCACTGCTGAGGTCATGTAGTTGGCCTTTCATCAGCTCCCTGAGCCACTTCTGTTCCTGTGCCCACATCTGGCATTCAAGACCCAGCTCCCATGTCCCCTTCCTGCTGAGGAAGGAACCTCCTGGCTCTGCCCTTGGCCCCCTCTGAGGCAGCTACTGCAGCCCTTCTCTCCTCACACACCCCAGGCTGCAGGGCCTCCTGGGTGAGGTCATGTGTTTCTCTGTGACCTTAACACCCTGTGGAGTATGTTCCTGGGCACCAGCATGCATTGGGTTAGGGTACCCCAAATGTCCACTGCAGGTCTGTGTCAGCGGAGTCGCCTGGGATGTGTTTAGAGAGAAGTTCCCTGGCCCATCCCCAGAGGCAGAGAGTGGGCTCTGGCTGGCCAGGGCTGGGGAGGGGAAAATGGAGGTGGTGCCCATGGGCCCAGGCCCAGGAAACAAGGTTGTTGTGGTGATGGAGATGTTCTCAAGGTAGAGTATGGGATGATTGTCCTGCTCTGAACTTACCAAAAGGACATGACAGGTGAGCCTTCAACAGATGACAAAATGGCCAAAAGTTATATCTCAATAAGTTTGTATTTAAAACATTAAAAAATGGGTCTACAAGTTGCCCTGTGTCTGTCCTCCACTGTATCTTCATCAAGGGCTTATGGGAAAACTGCCGTAGCCCACGAGGAGGTGAGCACAGACAATTTCACTGCACAGATGCTCTCAAGGCGCCTCATCTGCATGGTCCTGAGTCACACGATGAGATGCTGACGTCACGCTGCTTCTGTGATGGGAGAGACTTTTAGGGGCCTTGGGTGGGAGGCAGCTTATTTTTTATGTGGGCAGAATGGAAATAATGAGTGTCCAGAAGGTCTACTGTGTTGGTTTTCAATTTTCCACCCATTCTGGGATACACAGGAGGGGAGACAGCTCCCCCCGTGAGTGTGTCTGACTCGCTGGCTCTTCCTCGTGAGGAGAATGAAGCAGAAGGGACGCGCCACGTCACAGAGTCAGGCTCACAGGGGCTGAGACTTCCCGCCCGGGCTCCCCTCCTGGTCCCTCTCTGGGGTGACTCCCTGCACACGGTGGACCCTCAGCTAAGGGGACGCCCACAGGACAAGGACCTGAGGGTTTTCTGCCGGAGCCACATGCAGGAGCTCTGAGGCAGGTCCTTCCACACTGATCACGGCCATTCAGAGTCGCCAACATCTCGTCCCCATCGCAGCCTCGTGGGACCCAGAGCTGGAGCCTCTGAGTGAGGCCCCTCCTGCCGCCTCCCCCTCAGAGACTGTGGAGATGCCAGATCTTTGTTTAAGGTGCAAAGTAGGAAGTGATTTGGTACAAACCAGTAAAATATTCAGGCGATAAAGGGATCAGTGGCTGTTTTCTCACAAGAAACAGTGGAGGCCAGAGTAGCTCACGTGACGGTCAAGGTCCTGATTGCAATGAGCTGTCAGACAAGGAATCCACGTCCTCTGAAGTGTCCTTCAAAATATGTGATTTTAAAAAATTAGTTCTACCGTTTTTAGATTCCCATTTATTTTTGCTGTTTTGTTTCTTTATACTATCCCCAGAGCGGTGTCTGCAGGGTCACGGCACAGAGGGGCTGTCAGCAGCCTGGGACTGTGAGCAGCGGGGCTGACTCTGACCCGCCTGCAGGGAGTGGGGCCCTGGAGCCCCACAATCAGCCCCCTGGCCTGGCCCTCCAGAGCAGTGCAGGCCTTTCTCCTCTTGATTCCCTGAATCACCTCCTCTTGATTCCAGGAATCTCCCTGCCACCCCAGCATTGGGGAGTTGGGGAGGATGTTGTGGCTCAGGAAATGGGGGCCTCCTCCTAACTATCTGTCCTCTCCTCCTCTCTCTCCTTCATCAGCCTGAGTGTGCGTGTTTGAGTCACACCAGCCCTGCACGGACAGGAAAGGCCCAGAACTTAAGTGATTCCCTGGTCAATTACAGCTCCAGCCCCTCTGCAGTCCCACCAGGGGAGACAGAGACTCTCCCAGCCCCAGCCAGAGCCGCGTCACCCACACAGACCTTCCCCTCACAGTGTCCCCGATGCTGTCCCTTCCCGTCCCCACCCTTCCTGGTGCCCCCACCACTCCTTTTGGACCCCATCCCCTAGTCCCCATTTTCATCCTCTGCTCCATTTCCACGAGCCTCCCCGGCTTCCTAGTGATGCCCAGGGGGCTCTCTTCAACCTCCCCTCATTCAGAGATGGAGAATTTTTAAAAGATGTATATTTATTTATTTATTTCCTTACAGCGTGGGTCATCTTTCTATAGTTATTGTTCCTCTTAGGTGTGGTCCTTCCACCAATGATCCACCACATACCAACACCAGCTCCCCGGGTCTATCCCCGGCTCTGATCACTCCTGCTCCCCCTGCTCTAAGACGTGGATGGGTGGTTGGTCCACGGGTCTTGGCCTTATTCTGGAACCTTGTCCTTTTCCTGGGCGAGGACCTGGGCTCCTGGGTAGAATTGAATGTTAATTCCCTGGAAGCAGAAGGAGAAACAAAGTACAGAGACTCTGGAGTCCAAGGATCCATCCGAGACTGAAGGAACCTCTATATTTGGGGATCAGCCCATAATGTGGGAATCAGCTGTTATGACCTGGAAACCTGCTTTGTCCTTTGGCCATAGGACCAAAAAAATTTGAGGACTTCAGACCTGACACTGGACTTGGGCGCCCCCTTGTGTGCAGATCCCTGTCCTGCCGCTGGGGGCCCAGGGAGCCTGGGGAGGGCCTGGCTGAGCAGGAGAAAGGGCGGCTCTGGGCTCCTGTGCTCAGCCCTGTGGCCACACGGGGGCGCTGCCGCGCTGCTCCGGATTTGGTGGCGCCGCCAGGAAGGGGCTGGGGCTGAGGTGGGCACAGCTGGGGATGCTGGGGGGCGGCGTCCTGGGGGTGAGATGCTCTGTGAGGAGTCAGAGCAGCAGGGCTCAGAGGAGAGGAGACTCCGGAGCCTGCCCTTTGTGTGAGGTTTCCAGCTTTTCTCCCAGAACCCCTCTCTCCAGTCCCTTGATCTGCTTTGCAGACTTTCCAAACAAAGACTGCCACCTTTTTCCAATGTATGTTTTTCAAGCATAACAGAACTGGGGTGTAGACCAGAGGTGCAGTGGTTGAAAGGATTCACCAGAGAGAGTGGGGAGCAGAACAGGCAGATGTACTGAAATACACTGCTCCAGGGAGCAGCAGGCATGACAGGAGAAGGCTGCTGCACCCTATGTGGCTTAGCTCCCTCGTGGGGAATTGAACTCAGGCCACAGCAGTGATAGAGCTGAGACTTACTCTCAAAGCCAACAGCGTGGCCCCTTTCCCAATAATTTCTCACTGCACCATTGGCCATATAGAATTTAATATAAAATGAATGTGTCTTTACTGATCAATGAATCATGTCACAGGCAAGTTTTAGAT